TACCTGGACGTTGCTAGCTGCAGAGCACGCCCAACAAGTTCATGTTCACATATACTCACACACAGAGAGAAACTGTCTTGGGTCATGAAAGCAGTAAGTGGCAGAGCTGGAACCCAAGCTTGTGATAACAAAGTCCTACAAACTGTGGATTAGCCTCAATGGCTGTACCTCCAGGACCCAAGCAATCATCTGCTCAGTGAGTGGACACACACACACACACACACACACACACACACACACACACACACACACGAGAGAGAGAGAGAGAGAGAGAGAGAGAGAGAGAGAGAGAGAGGTGGGAGGTGGGAGGTGGGGAGGCAGAGCGGGTTCCGGTAGCTGGTGATAGTCATTTGACTGACTGATGTGCACAGAGCAGCCACGCAGAGTCCAGTAACTGTTAAGGAATGCAGTTGCCCCATTCCCCTACTCTTTCATGAATTCAAAGGAACCGAACTCCAGAAGGCAGAGCTTACAGTAAGAACTTGTCCATAACAGTGATTTTAAACAGCTCAAAGCCCAGTGCCACGGGGAGAGGGTCACACCCTTCTCACCCACCCCAGTTCATTTGCTCATCCCAGCCTGAGACAACACTCCAACCTGAGAATTTGTCCTCTGTATGGGGAAAGGGGACTCTCATCCCCTCTCCCATGCTGCTCCAGAGCCCCACGGAGGGAGCCCCACATTATTGAGGCGTGCGGGGCGGAGGGGGATGTCCTCTTGGAGGGGCAGCAGCGGTTTTGCATGTTTCTTTCCACAATGGCTCCCACTACAGTGAGTTCCGGGCACCAATCGCACCGACAGATGGTCTGGGGGTGCCTAGCCCTACTCCCAGAGGGCATCTCTCAACTCCACCTGGCAGGGACCAGTGAGGACCCATGCAAGCCACATGCTCAGCTGTGGCTCCGGATTCGGTGAGCACTTTTTACACACCAGGTTGGGATGGTGTCAGCTTCTCCCAGGGCCACAAGCACAGCAGATCCAGCAGGACCATCAACCCAGGACCACAGCTGCCGCCAGAGCACTCTGCTCTTTGCAGAAACGCCATGCATGTGGTGTGAAGGCACAACCCCTATGCAGACAGGGCTTTTCAGGTAGCAAAGGGACATTCCCTGGGAAAAGCATAAACCAGCTCTCAGAGCCCAAGCACTGCCCTACTTCCAGGAATCTTCTCAGACCCCTTTCCAAAGCCAGGAGAACAGCACCCTCGACAATCAAAAACAAGTAGTAAGTACAGAGATTGTCAATGAATGGTCGAAGACACCTGGGCGAGATGCTCTCTAGATACCAGCAAAGGGAAGCCCCTGGGGTTGCTGGCATGGGAGCTGAGAAGCCCAGAGACTTCAAGTGGTGTTTTAGGAATGGAACAGGTGACACCCTTACTGGAAAGCGGAAGCCTGTAGCTCAGGATGTGACTTGTTCTGCGGTGCATGGTGTCTTAACATAGTAACATATATCACACAACATTTATCAAATAAGAATCACAGTTAACAATATTTAGTCCATTAACAATTAGTAAGACTTAAAGAAAATATCATCTATCCTATCTTTGTGAGTCTAAAGTCTTATATGTAACTTATCTTTAATCCTAACTGAGGAAAACTATAACCATAACTATCTGTCTTCAACTCCTTCAAAGACCACAGAAGGATAATATATAAACTCTAGAAATGACAGAGACAACTCAGCCTGGTCAGTCACCCGAAGTTCTTTTGTAATGTTCCATCTTCAGCCTATAGGCCATAGTGTGTCTGGCAGACTCCTCAGCAAAGCAGGAAACTTTAAACTGTCCACCTGTATTAGCAGTTTGTTAGTTACTTTTCTCTCTGTGTCCTGCAAACTGTCTGGCAGACTCTTTCATGAAGTGGGAATCCTGTAACAATGTCCATTTTGTATCAGCAGTCACTTTCCTGTGGGTCCTGCATGTCCAGTTTATATAGCATAAAGTCAAACAGTCCAGACAAGAGCAGTATCTTGTCCAAATGGCTAGTCTTGCCATATTGAAAGCAAATTCCATATCACGTTTCTTCAAAGTTCATCTTCCTTTCTGACGCAGGTGGTGTTGCCAGGAGCAGTTGTGCCTCACTGTTAAGAAAAACCCTAAACAATTTTAAATGCCATATTCTGTAGGTCTTTGAAAGGTTTGAAGAATGCCTATTTGTCTCAAATACATCTCTGTATATCTAGAAATCCTAAGTAACAACTATAAGTTTTGACTATTATAGGTAACTATCTATAATCTGTACTAAGTTATACATTTTTAAATGAGCTATATAAACACAATACCTAAACAAGAGGAGAAATATACATATCACAAAATTAACCTTAAATTTGTATCAATAAATGAAAATCCATTCCAAAACAAAGTATTCATATCTATGCCATAATCCCCTTTTTACCTTTAAAAAGAGATTAATTGTGATCATTAACCATTTATAACCAACCCCATTTAAATGAAAACAAACATTTATAGACAATATTTGGGAATTTGGGCATTGTTCTTTCCAAACTGTTTCCTGCTGTCAGGGGGCGCTGTCATGGGGATCCTAAGAAGATGCAGAAATCCTGACTGTAGTGGTCTGCAAGGCTGCCTTGTCCCAGGGACAATGCTTCAGGGGGTCTTGCTTGATCAAACCATGTTAGTCAGGAAGGAATCCATAGTTTTTTATTTTCTGTGGAAACACAAATAGAAATCCTTTTCCCCAGTAACCTGTCCTTGGATTAAATTTTGAAGTCAAAGCATTTTAAAAATATATAAATTGAATTAATCCAGCAGCATTTCCTTTAACAGTTGTTGTTTCCTCAGCAGTCAAATGATACAAAGACAATATAATACCTTATAGTATCCAGATTTTCTCAGTACTTTCCATCTTTACGTGGCTTTTTTATTACTCTATTTCATCTATTTCTATATTTTTATTTTTCGAGACAGGGTTTCTCTGTGTAACTCTTATCTGTCCTGGAATTCACTCTGTATACTAGGTTTACTTTGAAATCACAGAGATTTGTTTGCCTCTGTCTCTAGAATGCTGGGATTAAAGGAGTGTGCCACCACACCCAGCTACTCTGTCTTTTTATTATTGTTTTAAACCATTTTATCCGGTTTCTTTTTCTCTCCCAAGCCTACATACATTTTAAAACACTCTGTAAACCTTTAGAGGTTTTTCTTAATCTGAATCTGTTTTTACTGTAAATCTTTATCTTTTTGTGGCCACGAGTCTTTTATCTGGTAAACAACAACATTGTTAAACTGAAAGCCACAGCTGTATTAGTTGTGGTCTATCAAAGATGGCAGCGGCTGTTTTACCGCCAGAACTGAGAGCTGTGCTCACTGCCTTGGTCTACGCTGCCATCCAGCAGCATGCTGCCGGCTTGGAGATGTGGTCATTGCCATTGCCAGCTCTCATACACACCAATGAATTGTTAGCAGAGCTTCTTAAAAGCCTTGCGGTTTTTTTGCCGCTTATGCTGAGTCAGGAATCCTCCCATAAAAAAGCTGCACAAATTTCTGCTTGTCCTCACAAAACAGAGTCCAACCCAGAAAAATGCTCTTGGCAAGAAGCCTTGCATGTCTTTGTTCTTTTGTTCCTAAAACCCTTTTTAAAGCTTTTGTTAAATTTTAAGCGGAAGTTCTTATTAGCCACATTGCGGCGCCATTGTTATGAGTTGTTTCCTACCGATCTGTTCCCACCGCCGCACCAGCCCCCCAAAACACCCAGAGACCCTGTATTAGATATAAAGCTGTTGGTCAGGTACTAATTTCTTATCGGCTAGCTCTGTCTTAATGATTAACTCATTTACATGTGGTCTCATCTTACTGGAGAGAGTGGCCAGCGTTCTGTTCTCTCCAGTCTCTACTCCCTACTACCCTAGTACCTACCCCTCCCTACTACTTCCTCGAATCCTCCTTGTCTCCTAGTCCCGCCTATCTTGCTTTCCTATTGGCCAACAGTGCTTTATTCATTAACTAATAAGAGAAACATATTTACAGAATGACATTTTAATAGCTTGTTTCCTAATAAAGCACAAAAACAAGCATACCCCCCCTAAAACCTTGTATTTGGTGGTTGATCAACTTAATTCTGTATGTGATGTTGAGGCCATAATTCAAAAAACAATTCTTTGGCTTTCAGATACAGGTGACCCAACACCATTGTGGATTGTTTGTTATTTTAAATTTGAGTTTAAATATTATGCGTATGAATGCGTTACCTGCATGTATGTCTGTGCGCCACCTGTGTGACATGTCTTTAGAGGCTAGAAGAGGTTTTTGGTCATTCTATACCAATTAAGAATTCGCCACCACCATACCTCAGTCCCTGGCAACCCCCCCACTCCCTCTACCCCATCCCCACAGTTTTCTGTCTTGAGAAATTACAGTAATGTCAGTTACGCCCTCTACATGCAGGTGTATAGAATGCTTGCCATTTTGTGACTGACATTTCACTTGTATGTATTCTAGTTTATTTTCATTTCTGTTTATGCTGAGTAATAGTCCATGGCATACATACAGAGACCCTACATGGTTGGTACATTCATCTGCTTATGGCATCCAGTTGTTTGCATCTTGGCTGTTGTCAAGTGCTGTTAGTATGAACACACAAGCATCTGAGACTCTTATTTTTGTATAATTATGAAAGAACTTTTGATGGATGACATGCTAATTTTGTGGCAATGCTTACATATTTAATTGGGTAAAATGACAATTGTTGAGATGATTGACTTATTAAAAAGTGTTATATACTTTAGCTTATTGATAAGTGCATAGGTTACCCTAAGCTGTTAAAGTGTCACAGGTGTCCCCTACTGACATCAAGCAGAAATGCACGGAAAGATGTTTTACTCAAATATGTAGAGGTGTTGGTCATCCATATTTCAAAGGAAGCAGGTTAACCAGAGCGTGAGTCATATATTCATTTATCTGGAAGCACATGGGCATTAGGCCAGGGCTCACCATTCAGCAGATGCTGGCTCCTTAAGTGAATCCATCCTCCTCTCAATAGTTAAGCATTTACTACCCGCCCACCCCCCAAGGATTTCAAAAAGTAATTCATTTTTCAGAACAAATTAGCAGTAAAGGGCTGATGGTGGCATAGCTGTTGCAGACCATCATCTGAATACTGTGGTAGATTGTGTCACTGCTGTGCATAAGTCTGGAGGCAGATAGGATGCAGTCCAAGCAGTACATCACCACAAAGAAGCTCAAGAGCAGCAGGATGGTCCGGGTGGCCCTTTGCTCTGGAGATGCTTTAGGAGAAAGGCTGGTGCTGTGGAGATGCCGGACCTGCTTCTTGTGCCTGCACAGGAGAGCCAGCATGTACCCGCTGGAAAGGACCATGAGACCTATAAGGGACACATCCCAAAATATCCTCACTATGGAATTTAAGCGCCTACTGATAGAACTCATGGGTAAAATAATGCAGGATTCAGTGATAGATGTGAGCCCATGTGAGGTAACGTAGTCAGCAACAGAGGAGAATGGGAAGTGAGCTCCACAGGACATGTAGAAGACCCACAGCACAAGAAGGGAACACAGGCTGTGCTGTGGGGATTTATGTTTGAACTTTGCCAAGTAGGAGCTTCTGGGGCTGAGGGTGACAGCCTGGAGGACACTCAGCAGGCAGGTAGCACAAAGAGAGAGGCCCCTCAGAAACCTGTGCAAGTGGACAAGGGATTGACATGTGATGCAAAAATGTCAGCAGCTGTGATCTCCATGATCATTGGCATCCCAAAATGGATGAGAGCCAAGAGACTGATGAGCAGGTCAATGGTCCGGGGCCTGTTTTCAAGAAGAAACTCGAGGATATGGAAGAGGAGGAGGATGCTGTTGAATGAAATCCCAGTGCCAACTTCAGAGAAAAATATATTTTGTATGTCCCCAATTTCATAAAAATAGTTGATTCTTCTCATTGTATGGGACAAGGAACTAGAGTAAGTGACTTTTTGGTATTTCTATTATTAGAGAAATTGTGAAGGAAACACAGGAAAGATTAATGGAGATAACTGTAGCCTCCTTTAGGACCATGATCACTGTGTATTAGTCAGTGTCCTGTAACCTCATCACCAAACTGACTCAAGTGACACCAGACAGACCAAGGATAAGGGGTGACATCACTAATTTGTAATTTGTGAAATTGAACAGGGAATTCAAAGGCTCTTAATAAAACTCTCATAGATAAAGGTCAGTGATGAGCTGTCTGTGAGATGAAGTTTAAACACACAACCCATTTCTTTCAAAAGGCTTTTAGAATTTCTAAGTATGCACACTATAGAAGTCAGTACATCAACAACTGATTCATTTGAGGTTGCAAAGCAGGAGCAAAACGAAATTATTTGTTTAAAATGTGAAATTACAGCATCACTTCCTCAGAAGTTCCATACAAGTGAGCAATTCTTGAAAATATCTAGAAATTATACCATACATGTGGATGATAAAGTAAATTTGGTAATTTAGTTTAGAAAAACAAATCAAACATAAATTAATTGACATCCTATTAAAAACTTAGCTAATTTCAGGAGTTCAGGAAATATCCTAAGAAGAAAACGTTCTCGTTGAGCCTCTCCTCTGCAGATGCTGAACACCTCCCTGAGCCGCACTGCTCCTCCTCCCACAGCCTGCCTGGCCCCGACCACCTTCTGATTCTGCACTTGGGTGCAGAGCACTTACCCAGATGGACGTGGCAGGGGAGGACTCCGCCTGTGGAGACCTGCACAGGCTTAGGTGAGGGGGTTTTAATGCATCTCTGCAGTTTGTAATTTTAGTGTTCTTAGAAGGTGACAAGTTCTGGCTGGGGACATGGAAATGTGACATCCCAGTGGAACTCCATACCTGCCTGTCACAGTACTTTGTCCTGGATAACAGCCATCTGGGGTGGAGTTGGGGTGAGCAAAAACTTTATCTGAGGTCCCTTGCCACATATGTGGGAGAGGTCAGGCAGAGAGGCAGAGACAATAAGAAAGAGAGGTAAGGCGGAGGATCCAGAAAAGGAGGAGAGGAGGGCCACACAATCAGCCGTGAAGAAGGAAAGAAAGGTGTATAGAATAGAGAGAGAAAGGTAAAAGCCCGGAGGCAAAAGGTACAAAGGATAATTTAAGAAAAGCTGGCAAGAGCGCAGAGCACTCCCGCTCTTCTCCTGGCGTCTCTCTTTACATGTGGACAGCGCCTCTATCCCCATCTTCTGAGGTTTCAGAGAAAACAACTTAGCACAAAATCTCTTCACTTCTCATAACATGTTGGGAGCCAGACTGGGGAATTGAGCTGTCAACAGGTTGATTCTCAGCCTCATGCATAAAAACTTAGCCCAGTTCTTCAAATCCTGAAAAACTTAAACTCTTCCTCTAATATTCCAATTTTCAGAAAAGCAGCCGGTGAGAAACTCTGGGCGTCGGTCACGGCGGGGTGGGGGGTTAGCTCAGTGCCCTCAGCCTCCTCTCTTGCTGCAGCAGAGAAGGGCACACTGCTCTTCTCCTGACTCCGAAGGTGTGGGATGTCCACATTTTCTTTGTCTTAAATTCAGTCAGCCTCGGCTCAGAAATGGAAAAACAACAAAGCATCTCATGGACTTCTGTTGAGACACACCCACATCCTGCACCACGATGGCTTTGTTTTGTCACAGCTGAAGAGTCCAAAAAGGGACCCTACCTTCTCCTATGCCCAAATCAAGGGGGAGGAAAAAAAATTTTTTTTTTTTTTTTTTAAATAAAGAAATCTACCTCAGTTGACAGGATTCCACCCATCCTTAGGGTTCTTCAGCTTGTAAGTTTAACCTGCTGAGTGTAACTCTGGCAGCGCCCTGCTTGGTCGACCAAGCAGGCTAGTGAGGCACAGCAGAGCGGAAGTGTGTAAGCGTTCCTGTGATGACCTCTTTCTAGCACGTTGCAGTTTTATATTTGATAAGTTGGTAAGTAATATGAATGTATAGGTAATTGTGTATGTTTTAAAAATGGCAATGAAAATTGAAAATGTAGCTTCCATACTTGTGTGTAATTCCAAAGTATCTTATTTTATCAGTTTTAAATAGCTTTTGGACAGCTTCAGTCCACTTTTCAGAGGTGTGCTGCTTTATTATGGAAAGGAACTTGTCTTCTCACATCTCATGGAGCTGCCGTTTACACATCACAACTTTTTAACTTACTGTATTTTTTCAGAATTAACTTTTTTGGAGGGAAGAAATTCCCCACTTGCTAAACGATACTAAATTGTTGTCTGAGCTTTTAAAATCAGGTCTTCAGATTTTATAAACTAGTTTGTAGCTTTTTAGGTTCTTTGTTAGTTAGACGTACATAAGGGATATAAAATGACCTTCAAATTGTTTTAAATGTCTGTTTTTTTCCCACTGATGCACACTTGGGGACGTTGTGTTCGCACATATTTTCATCATTAACTGAAAAGGTCCATTGCTTCTTTTAATGTGAATCAGTTTATTTTTGGATTTTTAAAAAATACTGTGCTTGGTGGAGAGGACATTTTAATACATCTTTTTTTGCCTAATGCAGCCCCCTCTGAATGTTAATTTTTAAAATGTTAAAATTTGGTGAACAACTGGAACATGTGTTTGCATTATGTTTATGTTTAAATTTCGGTGTTTTACAAAGGAGAAAATTCTGGGATGTATTATTATTGAACTTCCATTAAAAGAAATTGATAGGACTGTTTTAAAATCAGTTGAATGAATACCTGTGTTGGTATGTGAAAGTTTTTCCTAAAACTACATTCATGTATTATTTTAATCCATTTTTCTGTGACATTTGGTGCAATAAACTTTTTGAATTTATCTTGAAAAAAAGAAAAGAAAAGAAAAGCTGGCAAGAATTAAACCAAACTAAGACCGGACATTCGTAAGTAAGAATAAGTCTCTGTGTATTTACTTGGGAATTGGGTGGTAGGCCGAGAGAGAGAGAGAGAGAGACAGACAGACAGACAGAGAGAGAGAGAGAGAGAGAGAGAGAGAGAGAGAGAGAGAGAGAGAGAGAGAAACTACAGCACCCTGTTTCCAGGAAATCTTGGTCCTATGCCTCATGACTTCTAGTCTCCTGCTTTAAGCTCTATTAAAAATGAATTTAAAGAATGTTCAGAAGTAAAGGAAGATGTGTGGAGTTTGGGGCTGAGGGTATCCTGGGCAGTGGCTGTGGCTGAGGCCAACCCTGAGCTGGAGCCTTCTCCCAGAGGAGCTTGAATTGAAGGGCCAACTTCCTCTCATTGATGGAGGCAGGAAGTTGTGACAGAAACAAAATACAGTCATATTTGAGTCCCCTGCATACTTAACACTGGTAATATGAAGCTCCAGACAAAATGGAGCCCAGAACCCACAGTCTGAAGAGAGTCCTATCACCCAGGTTTACCTTCTCCCATTCTGGGACTCAAAGACAGCAATTTATAATAACTGCTCAACATGTCAGAGATTCAGACAGGCATAAGAGAAGAAAGATTAGCTCCTTCCAGAGAGGACTGGAGACTTCAGGAACTAGAGGCATAAATATGCAAGGACTGTACCATCTACTGTCTAAGATTCCACCCGAGGTACCTGGGGGTTGGGGGGAGCGGATCCTTCAGCATACACTAACAGAACTCAGCTCAGGCTGGGGGAAGTCCAAATGCTGTCCCAATGCTTCCATGAGCGTGTCAACGACAGGCAGAATTCAGCTGGCAAGAAGGAAGCCCACAGCATGTAGAGACCGGAAAACTCACACCCCATGCTCATCCTCTCTGTCCTCTTGCACAGGCCATTTGCCATCCAGTTGTCATTTTGCTCCTGAAAGACTTCTGGGGCTGGTGTGGCAGAGGGGTTGGCCTGCCAGAGATGGTGGCCTTCGTCTCCCCTGCCACTGTTGTCTGGAGGAAGACTCCTCTTGGAGAGGGAACAAGATACAGACACACATTCCAGATCCACCATGAATTTGCTGTGTGAGTCTACCTTGTGAATTTTCATTTCTCTGAGTTTTTAAAAACAGATTTTTATTATGAGCATTTTGCCTACATGAATGTAAGTGCACTGGATGTTCATTTGGTGTCTAATGAGGAAGTGGATCCTCTGGAACTGCAGCCATGATGTTTGACAATCCCCCAAAAAAAGAACAACCAGTGCCCTTAACCACTGAGATTTATTCACAGCCCATGAAATCAAAAATATTTTATGATAAATATTAGTTGTGCATGGTATTTTGTATTTCCATATAAATCCTGAATATTTTTCCTATTTCTGTAAAGTATATCTTTAGAATTTTCATGGGAATTGCTTGAACCCATGGACTGCTTTCTGTAGTATAGCTATTTTTACAATATTCATCCTGGAGCATGTAGGATTTCCTTTTCTTCTTGTATTTATTTATTTGGTGTAAAAAATTTTCATTGTGTTAAGTCTTTCACTTCCTTGGCTAGATTTATGCCAAGGTAAGTTATTTATTCACTTACTTGAGGTTCTTGTGAATAGGACTGTTTCTTTCTCAACAAGTTTGTCACACCGAAAAAGCCACACACACACACACACACACACACACACACACACACACACACACTTGTGTATCCTGCTACTACTTTGTAGAGATTTTTGTCACCAAAAAGGTTTTTTAGGGTCTCGGATCATGCCATATGCAAATAACTTGACTTTTCCACTTGTATCTTCCTTATTTCTTTCTCAAATCTTGTTATAGCTAATATTGAAGGATTGTAGTATGTAAAAGTGGAGAAAGAGGAACCCTTTTCTCAATCTTGAATTCAGTGGAAATGCTTGGGTTCCCCCAATTTAGTATAATGTTGACTATAGGTCTGTCAAATATAGCAATTATTATATCAAGGTTTGTTCATCTCTCTGGGTCTCTTTAGGGCTTCTATCATGAAGAGTTGTTAGATCTTCACAAAGGCCTTTCTGCATCTATGATCCTGTGATTTCTTCCTTTGAGACCTATGTGCT